GACGGAAATGAATATTCACGAATTAAATGAGCTCGACTCTTCAGTCCGCTCAAACGCAATCGGAGGGTTCCGGCTGAAATGATTGTTCTTTCAGAAACATCAACATAAAAGCCGAGAAGTAAAATTGTCGGCAACCAGCTCCAGTTCGACTGGACTACCATAAAAGTCCAAGTCTGTAAACACTTTGAACACTGGAGCCTGAAGATGGTGCTTCTGTACAATGACAAAACGGCTGTCGACGTACCTGATTGCAAGATGATGAAAATTTGGTCGAGTCAGAACTTCTTGATAGGTACTGCTCCACGGTCTCTCGATAAGCGTCACGGCCAAGTTCGAAAGTGTTGGAGAAATCTGACTTCCTATTCCAGCGCCCCTGATTTGGCGCCATACAACACCAAGTGCTGTGAAAAAGTGAGTCCGCTGTACACGTGGGTCGACCTCCACTAGAGGGAAGGCTGAAAACGGTCTCAAGGGAGGAGGAGCAGGAACTCTGGGAGGAAGAACATGCGCTCTGGGAGGAATGTTTCCAACATACGGGTCCCAAAGACCAGTATGAATGTGCCATTGACCTGGTGGAGGACGGAGAGCTTGAGAGAAAGAAGAAAGAGCCGTTCTAACTGACCTACCTCTTTCAGATCTCGAAGTGGACCTCAGAGAATGGTGATCACGATGATGGTGACGGTGATGGGATGCTCGATGACGACGTCTTGTTCTGGATCTGGAGAAACTTGATGTTGTGCGTCTTTCCTGTTTGTCATCATCTGTTCCAACCGGCACCTGAGGTTGGACTGCTGACGGTCGACGAGGTACGGAGATCGTTCCTGGAATTGCGGCTGGGGCTACTACCGGAGTTGCTGGAGGAGCATGTGGTGTCAATGCCAGTCTTACTGCTGGCTTCGCCGGTGCCTTGGGTGGCCGAGGTGGAGTCGGGTCCACGTTGCCGGCCACAAAATAAACATTATACACCGGAGTCGACATGGCTCAGAAATCTAGAGAAAGGAAAATGGAAAATGTGTTGTCTAATATGACAACTTGCTAACTGTACAAGGATTGATCAGTTAGACAACTAACAAATGATAACGTATTGTTGCTTGCTCAACTGTACACCAAAAGGCATTCATGTGTACAAACACAATTCATCCATTTGGAATTCAATGCTGAGGCTTCAAGTGTGGAATTCAGAAAATTCATCTTATTGGTGACTATCAGTCGCCAAAATTGTCAAAAGTCAAATTCAAGTTCAAACTCAGTGGATTCAAGCTATTTTTGCCGGATAGCATACCGGGATCTATTCTCTCAAATGCACGCTTTGTGTCAGAGACACACGTTCAATCATTGCAATGAGCCACCGTGGCTGAATTCAAGAGTCAAATTCACTTGTGGATTCTCGCACTCCCAGGGGAGATACGACGCCTGGAATTCCAGGATCACGACCGGACTTTGACAGATCCCACGGCCGAAATACACACTTGCGAAGTCATGAAAGACGGTCTCTTTTCATGAATGCAAAGTCTGATTACCTCATGGTAGATTGAAGGCATCACTCGGCCATACCGAGTTAAAAAAGGCCAAGCTTATCCGTTGACATTTGAATGTCAGGTTGTTTAAAAGAGAAACCAATACGGCTCAATCAAAAGTGATCATGAAATGACTGAATGACGGCATGCAGGTTCTTGGGTTAGCCTGATCCCATAAAGTACTAACAGATACGAATATGACCACCAGCTATGACCCCAACATATTGGGTATGTCATCCAGGTGCATCATGCAGGTACGTTTTCACAACCTAAGGTGAGCGTCTTCATTGGCACAAGACTCACCAAAGGTCCTTGTGCCCCCTGCTGTGAATTAAGGTGCAATGGTATCCATAATTTATGGAAGAAAGCAGTTAAAAAAACTAGTTGGTTGAAATCAGCCGCAAAAAGTGAGGAACTCTTCGGTACAGAGCTTGACACACACACACACTCACACACACAAGCCCTTTGCACTCACGAGCAGTGCGTTCAAGACCGAGGAGGTCTAGTGACAGTCGCAGCTGTTTTCGCCCCACGATAGGACCCGTTGAGTGAACTGCCATATCCCCTTGACGCCGGGGTGGCTCCCGATATCCTCACTGGCCTTTGGGGTGGGCTCCCATCGTTACAAAACTGGCCCAACATCAGACAATTTTTGCGTTTGGATTTGGACGTATTTACATTCACTTCCTCCAGATCATTGCGGGTTGGGCACCCATTGACTGTCCCAACATACTTGCAACAGCTCACAATTGGATTGGTATTTCTGATAAGGTTCTCTGAACTTTCCTTGCCTTGCCTGCTGGACAACGTTGCCCTTGCAAGTGCATAGGACGATGCCTTCAATCATCTACCTTTGCTGCCTTTCTCAGTTTGCCACAGCTTGTATTGGAACCTGCCCATTGAGAGCAACCCGGTCCCAATTCCGGGCGTGTGCACAGAGATGACGACACCACATCCATGTTTTAGACAGACCCATCTCACGGATTTCTTTCAGGATGGAAGTGTGCACGAGGGTGAGGGTTGTAACCGCACCACAACGGTTACTGGAGCAGATGCATGGATTACACATTTTTGTGCAGATCCTGCGAACAGTGGACAACCGCCTCCAAGGTGCCACGGCACATGTCCTTCCCCCCAGCCATATACAGGAGTACAGAAAAGAAGCTATAAACGCGCATGCAAAAGAGCATTGACTTTTGGGTGCACCAGATATCGTGGTCGAGAGGTTTCACTCAGGGATTTTCCCTCGAATTTGATTGCAAGGGTACAACAGGAACAGAGCCGACAACGTCGACCAGCTCCTCATCCATCTCCAACTCCTGTACGCCACTCCAGAATGACCTTGCTACATTGGAACCCTGGCGGTATGGCCCAGAGCACGTTCCAAGAGTTCAAGCACTGGCTCACTTTCAATCCGACAGATGCCGTTGTGATAACGGAGACCAGGTGGAGCTTCTCTTCCTGTTGGCAAGATCAGAGATGGTCATATATACACTCGGCAGCTTTGGAATCCCGTACGGGGGGCATATTAATCATGATTGCGCGCCACATCTGTCATCCCGACAACATTGGCTACGACGAACAACGGCCTGGACGCCTAGTTCATGTCCGTATGCACTTTGATCGGAGAGCAGTGAACCTTTTGGCACTGTACCAGTATGTTGACAACCGCAATCAACAATCAACACAAGCGAGCGCAGGAATCTGGCAGGCGCTCAATGAAAGTTTATACAGAATGCCCAGCCGTAACAGCCTCATCCTTGCAGGAGATTTTAACTGCTCCCTTCCACGAGCAGCTCCATGGATTGGTACAAATGCCTTCAAGTGGAATGGACGTCGCAGACAGGGACGCTTACATGCTGATCATGACCAACTGCTGACCATAATCAGACAGCATGCATTGGTTGATCTCACATCGTGGGACGAATCCCAAGGACCGACTTACATCCACGGAGACACTGCATCTAAGATAGATCACGTGTTCATGCGGTTGACCCAATGTGATGGTATTGCAAAACAGACACAATTCCTTCCCAATGCAGACATCATCCCTAATAACCAAACCCACCATGTCCCTGTCAGTTGTTCAATCAAGACTCGAATGATGCCATATCAAGTTCAACAACTTACCCCAACCTGTACGTACACACAAAGATCCAAATGCCGCCAAGCCAGCTTGCAGGAATCCGACACATGGATATCCCTGCAAAATGCGGTGACAAATGCAGTCAGGCAGATCGCAATTGCTGAGACACCGGATGCCGCAATTTGTAATCTCCATGACATGGTTGCACCAATTTTCCAAACCCTTTTCCCGAAGGCCAAGCATTCGAACACCTCGGACAGTGGGCCCGTGCATGTTTTAATGGAAATTAATGGCAACACAGAAACTGCATACGCACCATAGCCTCCAATGTACAGATGCCTCTCATCACTCGATGCATCCAGGCATGGTTTCACTGGAGCCGCTGTTGCAGCCTGCAACGACAACAGCAGCGGCAGGCCAGGCAGATCAAAGCTGCCAAGTTCCGAGAATTATGCACAGAGGTAGACAAAGCAGCCAGGGCCCATGATGCCCATTTGATGTTTCAAATCATCAACAGGTATGCACCCAAGAAGCCCTTGACCAGAGCCCGGCTGCGCACAGCAGAAGGACAAATCGCAAATCAACATGTTGCACATGCCATCACCGTCCAGTATGTTCGTGACACCTGGAAAGGACCATCGAAACTGCCTGAATTCACAGTCAGTGCACCGGGCCTGCCTTTCACCCGTGCGGAACTAGTGGATGCCATCACAGCGGAACATCCAAACAAATCAGTTGCGCAGCCATTCTTGCCAGCGCTGATATGGAAGGGTTCAGCAGAAGAGATAGCCCAACACCTATACCCTGTCCTTGAAAGTTGGTGGCAACAATATCCCCCAATCATCCCCCAAAATTGGAAAGATTCATGGATTTATTTCCTACCCAAACCGGGTAAGCCCAACACCAGCCCGGCACATCTAAGACCAATGTCTCTCATGGAGCCATTGGGAAAAATTGCAATAGGCCTACTCACCGCTCAACTCCGACACCATGTGTTTCCTAAGCTGAGCCGTTTCCCACATTTTGGTTTTCTACCCTTTCGATCAGCTGCTGATGCAATCTGCCGAGTCAGTAGACACCATAGCTTAGTGAGAAGCCTTGTCGGATCCCAGAGACGCACAGTAGGCCAACGGATTGCAGGGACACCCAAACTGAAGATCTGTGGAGGCATTTCATTATTTCTTGACATGACACGTGCATTTGACAGTGTCGACAGACCAACTTTATTCACGCATCTTTCCACTCAAGAAATACCTGAATCCCTCCTTGTTCTCTTATCTAAGTGGCATGAAAATACCCACTATAAACTACAATTCCAGGGTGCAACCACCACCATCAAAGTGGGTCGTGGCCTACGCCAAGGCTGTAAAGCCGCCCCGTTACTGTGGTTGGAGTATATGGACCTGTTTCTGGACAGACTCATCACCCACACTGGTCATGACTGGGTAGCCCAATGCGTCACACTCTACGCAGACGATATACATGTAGGCTGCAGCTTTGAATCAGAAGGAGCCCTCCGAACGGCAGTCACCAACATGGGACACCTTCTGGACATTTTGGAGGACCTGTGCATGACGATCTCCTGCGAAAAGTCTTTTCTCTTGCTGACAGTTGCTGGGACAAACCCACGCTTGTACATGAAACCATACATCAGACGTGGATCACATGGCACAACATTTGAGATCCCTCGAAGTACCGGCCAAACAACCTCAATACCGATGAAATCTTCTGGAAGGTACCTAGGAGCTATCATGAGCTATCGCATGATGGAGGAATTGACATGGAAACATCGCTGCAAATCAGCCTGGCTGGCGTTCAACCGACTGAAGAAATGGCTCCAGAGCCGTCAGCTTTCTGTCCGATATAAAATGCATCTGTGGCAAAGCTGCGTGCACACGATCCTCACCTATGGGATCTTGGATATGAACAGCACAGTCAAGACGTTGCATCAATATCAGCAGACAGTATACACAATGATTCGGATGGTGATAGGTGACCACTCATACAGGACACATCACACCCACCAGCAGGCTTTTCAGGCACACCACATTGAACTCCCGCTGCCGATGTTGGGACGGTTAGCCATGAACATGCTACGACGCCTGAACAGGCGGGAAGACACCATTGCATCCGATGACATTGTCCTCACGATCCCATGGACACATTTGACCGAAACTCTTCGACTCATTGATGCCATTCACGACACCAGTGCGCAGGTACCCATAGCGGTGGACCAACATCAGCCAGTCTCCACTCAGGCTCAACAATGTCCATGTTGCCCTTTTGTCACGGACTCGATCCCCAACCTACGTAGACATCTGACGGTGGCCCATGCCAAGTATCAACATAGAACAACAGCAATTTTCCCCTTGGATTTTGCACTCCATGGCCGTCCTCAATGTAGTCACTGTCATCAAGTGTTTACCACATGGCGATCATTTTCTATCCACATTGAACGCAATTGTTGCCAGGTCACCACCGCCCAGCCACGTCACTGGTGGCCGACCGCAATGGACAGGGTTGACATTGAAGATCGGGAACCGACCCTCGACAGCCCTCCAGCGGACGTCGATCAGTTCCATGGTGCAACACAACGTTTTTGGACACAACTCAAACAATGCATCCAAACACGCAGTTGGACCGACATTGCGGCTCTGCCAGACCTTAGTGAATACCTACAGAATCACTGTATGATTTGTGGTATGTGGCAAAACCGTTTCCAAGAACTACATGGACATCTGCGCCTATATCATCCCACGCTCATTGGTGGTGGCGTTGCCAAAGGCACAGATCACTCACCTGCTGCCAGGTACATCACCTTGTATCCTCTGCGGCCAAGACTTCCGACGGGTCCACAGCTGCCCTGTGGCCTTGCAACTTGAATTTTGTGCAACTTGGATCATGCTGCCTGCATCCAACCATCAGTTGCACGCCGCTGTGAGATTTGTGATTCAGACCAAGACAGTATGGGGAACTTATACAGACACCTCTGCCAGCAACATGGACTCACCATCAACGACTGGTGTCCTGCAAGGGACGCGCATCAGGACAGTGATGGCTGCATGCACTGCGGCGAAATATTTATGTCGCGCTCTGGCTTGCGGCGCCACATCACGGAGGGTCGATGCATGTCCTTCGACCCCCTGACGAGCCCCCAGCCTCTGAATGCAGCTGATCGCTGGTCCTCATTGCATGCTGCTGGACAGTTCACAGCTCCGGTCCTTACAGCAATACACCGCATCAAGTTGACTCTGACATGCCAATTCTGCGGGACGCGATACCAGCGCCAGGGAGACCTTGTGGCTCATCTCCTACAGTCACACCCGGCACTCTGGAACAATTCACAAGAAACATTGAGATTTCTTTTGCAGACGGTCATTGCTCACACTGGATGCCTTTGCAACCCACAGGTACACCAGACAAATCGCACCCACGTGTGCACAGTGGTGCGTCAACTTGCCATGGCCTTTCACCAAAGTGAACTGGAGGTATTGGTACCCACGGTGTACAGTCCTCAGCTCCTGGATGCAATGTTGGTCAATCTTGGCAACACTGAACAAATCCAACGCCTGAGAGTCTTGCTACATGACCGCCAATTCTCAAGCTTGTGGCAGGACCTGGATGTGCTGATTCTACTCAGGACAAGATGTGTGATCTGCGGCGGGGTTTACCATGCCACACAAATGATGTACCACCTGCTCACTATGCACCATGACGCATGCATGTGGGCGGCTCAGATCACCTATCAGCTCAGCATTAGCATGCAATCCGTGCAACCACAGGACTATCAATGCCAGTTCTGCCAGTTGATTTTCAACTTGCCGCATTCCCCAAGTGACTTGATGGAACCCAGAGAACGCTGCTTACGACTGCAAGCACATTTTCACTCAGGGTGCCCAGTCCTGCGTCAGATCGCGCTCGTGCTGTTGCCAATCCATGGACTACGGGGCGTGGGACTCCCACGACCAAGCGCTGATGGACAGCCTGCAAGCGCTGGCACCAATGTTCCTGGGCACACGCAAACAGGAGCTCGCAAACGACGACAGGACAACCAAACGCCACAAGGGGCCCAAACAAGAGGAGCACGGAGATCAACGACAAGTACAGGTGTTGACACAGGTCGTCACGAAGATGGCACAACTGCTCTTGAACCACGAGCGCAGCCTTCAGACCTTGCATCATCAGGACTCCTACGTTATCTTTGCCCGCACCCATCCAATCGGAATGATGCCCATCATGGCCACACTGGCCCAGGAATGGAAGACGAAAGCGCCACAGAACCAGGAGAACCCCCAATGGTTGACGTTACGCAGCCATCTCCTCCGAGGTCTCCTTCAAGAATTGCTGACCAGAGTGGTGCAACTACAAGAGAGCCAGCCAGGACAGCAACTATGGGACACCGCGGTGGCGAAGCAGACCATCTTGCAGGACGGGTCATGGGTTTACATGAAGTGGTCGCCATCGGACCAACAACTCATTCCCACCAAGCGGACACCCATCCCGATGGGTCAAATGGTGAAGCTCCTGAAAGTCCTGATCGCAGCACTCCAGGACAACATGCACGTCCTACGTTTTCAGAGCCTCAGGACGCAACAAGAAGTCACCTTGCGGGACTCCGAACTGTGGGCCACATTCAACGAGCTGACGGGGAACTCAGTGTGGGGCCTCATGGCCATGTCGTTGAAGAGGCACCAACAGGTGTACTCCAAGCCAGCTCAGCAGCTGGCCGACCTCCTGGGCAAGGGCAAAGGACGCGGCAAGGGGAAACAGGTGAAGCAACAGCCATCCACCCCGACAACACCGACGCCAGCAGTGTGACTTTTCAACATCGACATGACCTGAGACAGGTGCTGACAATGCTAGCGCTCCAGAACCCAGGATCACTATGCTACGCCAATAGTGCGACACTGTGCTATTGGTGGTCCTGCCTGTCCAGGGTCAATTTCCAATATCAAGATTGGGGCTCTCAGTCAGCAACCTTTTTGAATTTACTGCAGCGTGACAACAATATCATGATCTCCTTGGATGAATATGAATGGTTCAACCAACTCATTGCTTCCTGGCAAGATCCTGATTCTCAAGCAGATAGTGCAGAATTCACACATCGGTTGCTGACCTGGGTGGGGACACCCATTGTATCAAATCGATGGGAACGCAGAGTTCACACCAGTGAAAGAACAGAGCTACATGATAGCGGCGACACATACATGCCCATCACACTGCAATTGGACATGGACATGATCGCAGACAATGAAGTCAGCTTGGAATCACTGGTGAGGCTGTGGCATGGAGAACTTGGCATGAGTGCGGGCCTTACTGACCCTTCTGATCTAGTTGTGTTGCACATTGACCGACTGTTTCACAACGATACTGGCCGCTTGCAAAAGCTCCATACAGTGATCCGTTTCTGCTGGTTGGTACAGATCCCCATCCTCCAACATGACATGCCAGTGCGTTGGGAACCGTACCAACTAGTAGCTGCCTTTGCACACATTGGAGAAGCCCAAGGTGGCCACTATCAGGCTCTGCTCAAGACTTTCCCGGAGACCACTGACTTGGCAAACCCAACGATGTGGCTATTCTGTGATGATGGAAGGGAACCCCAACCACGTTGGACCATCCCACCGCAGTTTGAGGAGGGAGTCACCTGTTTCTGGCTCTGCAGATGCAATCAAGTTGAACTGCACCGCTTGCCCAGTCAGGTTCCAGTCCGACAGACAACCACAGATGAGGCACTGATTGCCCTGCTGGCAGACCCGCAAACTAGCAGGAATGGCCAGGTCGAGGGTTGAACATCAGATTGATGCACATGGCAACTACGCACCGCAGCTTGTCATCAATCTACATGCACCCAGCTGCCCAAGCTGGCTTATCCCCGGACCCCTTTTCACGCCCTTGGGAAACCCCCGAGAGTTACCCCAGAGATCAGGACCCGAGAAGATGTCCAAAAAAAAAAAGAGGGCACTACAGAATGGCCCACACGCTGTTGCTTCATCCCATCTAATATCATCCGTTTCACCTTGACGTTTCACTCCCAACAGGCATTTTGCCATCCGCGCTGCAGCCCACCGCTGCTGACTGCACTGGCCATTTTGGCCCTGATGAGTGGGCACTTTGCCTAAGCCTAGTCGGCGCACACCCAAATATGAGCTTGACCATCAATCCGTTTTGCCAAATGGGCCAGCCCAGGACATCCTGTTGGCCTTTGCACCCAGCTGCCCAAGCTGGCTTATCCCCGGACCCTTTACATGCCCTTGGGAAACCCCCGAGAGTTACCCAAGTTACCAGGACCCGAGAAGATGTCCAAAAAAAAAGGGGGGCCAAGAGGCAAAATGCCCATCAAACACGAAGCCCCCCCCCAAAAAAAAATCGTTGCTTCCCATTCATATGGACCTAG